TTCAAGTTATAAGTAGTCTATATATATATATAGAAAAAAGTAAAATAGAATCCGTATGCTGGTAACATATAAGAAAATTAATATAAGATAATGACGGTTTCAATTCATCACTTTTACTAGCGCTTTCACTGCTTTCACAGATCTTCAGGTAATGTGACTTGTATACATAAATGTTATAAAACAATTGATTGACTTTAACAATAGTATGACGTTAACAAATACAAGGGAGACTACTAATGTCATTTCAAAATTGGAGTAAAGTGAAAGCAGTGAAAGCGCTAGTTAAAGTGATGAATTGAAACCGTCATTATCTTATATTAATTTTCTTATATATATATATATATATATCCTTCGGGTTTATATGATCCGTTCATCCTATTTCTAATATTTCGACTCTTCAAAATTCAAGAGTCTATCCCAAATTGAGGTAAATTATATGGCCTTCCAAATATCGTTTCGATCCCTAACATCACTGAAGAGACATTAATTGTCGAAATCCGGATATGGTGTACTAATTTTTGCACCTTTTGTTTGCGGTATACTATCTTTTCCGCAAGTTTATTGTTTTCTGTTTGGTATTAAATTTGTAAATTTTAAAAGATCAATTTTGTAACATCTTGTGATCCGTTTATTTGGCAATCGCCAATGGCAGTCAGCAGGGTTTAAGAACATCTGTTGTTCGACCTGTTAGTCAAATGCGTTTTGTTAAAATATACTTTTTCACTTTTTTGGTCTTTTGGAAAATGTTGTTTGTGCTGTATTTAGACCCCTCTATCAAGAAATTTGTTTTGCATGCACACGTATAAAAATTGCGGTTTTTATCCAACGCAATCATAGGTTTGAACGTTGTTTTCAATTTAGATTTGTTTATATTTTTTCGTTTGGGCTTGTATTATATTTTCCTTCGGGTTTATATGATCCGTTCATCCTATTTCTAATATTTCGACTCTTCAAAATTCAAGAGTCTATCCCAAATTGAGGTAAATTATATGGCCTTCCAAATACCGTTTCGATCCCTAACATCACTGAAGAGACATTAATTGTCGAAATCCGGATATGGTGTACTAATTTTTGCACCTTTTGTTTGCGGTATACTATCTTTTCCGCAAGTTTATTGTTTTCTGTTTGGTATTAAATTTGTAAATTTTAAAAGATCCTTTTTGTAACATCTTGTGATCCGTTTATTTGGCAATCGCCAATGGCAGTCAGCAGGGTTTAAGAACATCTGTTGTTCGACCTGTTAGTCAAATGCGTTTTGTTAAAATATACTTTTTCACTTTTTTGGTCTTTTGGAAAATGTTGTTTGTGCTGTATTTAGACCCCTCTATCAAGAAATTTGTTTTGCATGCACACGTATAAAAATTGCGGTTTTTATCCAACGCAATCATAGGTTTGAACGTTGTTTTCAATTTAGACTTGTTTATATTTTTTCGTTTGGGCTTGTATTATATTTTCCCTCGGGTTTATATGATCCGTTCATCCTATTTCTAATATTTCGACTCTTCAAAATTCAAGAGTCTATCCCAAATTGAGGTAAATTATATGGCCTTTAAAATACCGTTTCGATCCCTAACATCACTGAAGAGACATTAATTGTCGAAATCCGGATATGGTGTACTAATTTTTGCACCTTTTGTTTGCGGTATACTATCTTTTCCGCAAGTTTATTGTTTTCTGTTTGGTATTAAATTTGTAAATTTTAAAAGATCCATTTTGTAACATCTTGTGATCCGTTTATTTGGCAATCGCCAATGGCAGTCAGCAGGGTTTAAGAACATCTGTTGTTCGACCTGTTAGTCAAATGCGTTTTGTTAAAATATACTTTTTCACTTTTTTGGTCTTTTGGAAAATGTTGTTTGTGCTGTATTTAGACCCCTCTATCAAGAAATTTGTTTTGCATGCACACGTATAAAAATTGCGGTTTTTATCCAACGCAATCATAGGTTTGAACGTTGTTTTCAATTTAGACTTGTTTATATATATATATATATATATATATTTCATTAAAAATTACATTGATAAATCTGGAAATATATAGGTAAAAGTTTAAGTTAAAAAGTATATTCACACATCTTGTAGTATATGTTTATTGATTATGTACATGACTACGAATGTTTTGCAACATATTGTAGTACGTAAAAAATTGTTTTTGATAAATTCTACTGAGTCACACTCCTCATATGTAAATTAATTCAAATTAGAAACAAAACATAGTATGTTTAGGTCAAAATGCATAGTTTAAAGAAAATTAAACAATAACTCTTTTGTACTGTGATTTGTGTCCTTTCAAATAAGAATCAATGCTGTATATATACGTCAATAAGACAGAAATCTAACAACAGAGAAAAATACAAGAAAGATAATTGAAGCTATTACTGATTAAATAAAATTATGTCAATATTATACAGATGGCTACAGGACTGTATAATACGTGCATCCTTTTGTGTTGTTCTTTTGAGTTCTTTTGAAGAACGAGCTGACTAATGACCAATGTCGGTTATTTGGTAAATTCATATCAACTGAAGTTACAACTTGTGATATTAAATAGATAAGAGTAAATTTCCAAATAGTTAAATAAAGTTTAAAAATATAATTAACGCAAAGACAAAAATAGGAACCTCGTCAATGGATATCATATATCATATCTGAATGTTTGAAATAATTAGGAGAAATCGGTATATTGATGAGACAAAGTTTGAAGTTTCTGTTGTATATAGTTCACATTTGTTTAAGAAACTGGACATAGACCTTAACATAGTGTAAAACACCGGTCTAATGTTGAAGACTCTTTGTTTACCTCTAGATATTCTTCGGTTATCTGTTTATGTGGATCAGTGTCGAATTTATGTGAACCAAACATCTCCTTTTACAAACAATTAAATAGAAAGTGTGGCAAACACGATAATACTAGGAAAAAGGAGCCAACATATTTTGTGTTGCAACTATTAACATATGTTTATGTTCGAATTAGTTCCTCAACCGGACATACATTAGTAATCCTTAAACCACAAAACGTAGGCTTGTACAAAAAACAAAAACATCATATTAATATTGGATCAGCTCGACAGTTGTGCAGCTAATTTTATTTAGTAATATTTATTAAGAAAAAGTCCGTCAAGTATGACATCTGCACTGGCGGCTGCCATGATGAAATATTTAAAAAGACAAAACCGAAAAAGTTAGTATACAAATTAATGAAAATGTATATATTTTTTTTATATGCTTACATGTTTACCCCCGCCACATCCTGTTTGTGCCTGTCCCAAGTCTGGAGTCTGTAATTCAGTGGTTGTGGTCGTGCGATATATCATATTTGTTTTTCGTTCATTTTTTTGTACATAAATCAGGATGTTAGTTTTTCTCGTTTGCATTGTTTTACGTTTCTCATTTCGAGGCCTTTTATAGCTGACTATGTGGTATTGGCTTTGCTTATTGTTGAAAACCGTACGGTGACCCATAGTCGTTAATTTCAGTGCCATTTGGTCTCTTGTGGAAAGTTGTCTCATTGGCAATCATACCACATCTTCTTATCTTTTTTTACTTACAAATAGTTATTTAAACTGCACTGAAAACTGGGCGTCGACTGATTGTATAATCTAGTTTGATAAACAAAAAAATTATTCCTACTTTTGAGATTTTTGCAACATAAGCTGCAACTATACACTCATAATTTAACATAAGTTAAAGGCCCAATTTGAACTGATGGGAAATGTTTATGGAAATTGTTAAACAAACACAAATGCATGTACACGTACATAAGGTGACATGACCACGGGTAATCAATAACAGAAATAAATACATTAGGAAGATAGCAGTTGTAATTTTCTTCCCACTGGACATTTAGCAAGAAATATTAAATCAATGAAACTTCCTCATGAAAAAACCGAAATAAAAATGAAAATAAACACAACAAGGATAAAAGGAATTTTCACAATAATCGCCCATTACAAATGTCCACACTATTTATCAATGCTCTTAACAAAATCTGAATACATAAACATCGCAATGGCGTCTCCCCTTCAAATGATTAGGTTATAGATGCACGTTGTTATAGCAAATGTTTGATGTGAAAGACTTATGACTTTGCATATTTTCCTATTTATATATATATTCATTTATTACTTGCATGCAGGGTTGTCTATATACCATTTTGTTTTTCTTTGTTGACATATTTGTTTGTTTTAATAGTGATTAAGATTATAACACAATGTTGACTGCTGTACCCCTATTTTTTACATTTTTACTTATTATGTCTGTTTGTTTTGTTCACACATTGTTGTCAATATAATGGAATTTTATGCGACTGTCATACAAGTGAGAGGTTTAGCTAGCTATAAAACCAGGTTTAATCCACCATTTTCTACATAATTAAATGCTTGTACCAAGTCAGGATTATGACAGTTGTTTTTCATTCGTTTGATGTGTTTGAGCTTTTGATTTTGCCATTTGATAAGGGACTTTCCGATTTGAATTTTCCTTGGAGTGCTGTATAATTTTCAGATGAGTTAGATTTTTGAAGGGTTCACCAATGTACTATTGTTCTTTAGTGTATCTTATTCTTTTCGTACATATTATATATCGTTTACCTTGTTTGAAGTCATGTACTTCTGTCGAAAATGATACATATCTATTCTAATGTCCATTTTAAATATAGGTTGTGGCATAAATAGATATAAGCCACAGCCTTACACAAAAATCATGGTTAATCAAGATAATAAAAATAATTACATAGAAAAAATATAAATTAAAACAAGTTCTCGCTGCGTTGAAGACCCATTGGTGGACTTCGGCTGTTGTCTGCTATTTGGTTGGGTTGTTGTCTCTTTGACATATTCCCCATTTCCATTCTCAATTCTACTTTATTGATTTTTACAGAATTAAACATACATGTGTTTCAACGTACATAACTATTGATATTCAATTAAACATTTTCTTATTTGCATAAGTGTTTCAGTTCGAAAAAAAAAATACCATCTGTAACCACCTATTTTTTCATAGATATAACTAAAGTTGACATTCACTCTTTCATTACTGGGGTTACTGGTATCATAGTAGTCTTACCTATAGAATGCATATGTTATATTTTGCTGTGTTATGTGTAGCGTTCAATGCTGTGTTTGGAGCCTACTCATCTAAACCTAGGTGTGATCATAAATGTAAGTAAAGTTATTACAATGTATTATTCTTTTTTTTTTTTAAACTTATATATTTATTTACCAAATATGCTTGTTACATTGTTACATTGAGAGTCCAAGCTTTTCTTGATGATCGTAAAGAGAGGCTTTTGTAGTTTAACGTGAATTTGTACATTATTGTTAGGATTGGTATGTACGTACGTTCATCCTATTGACAGAATTTTGTGTGTTTTTTTTTTTAATATTTATGATATCAGTTAATTTCTAATTCCAACGATTCTAACACAATTTTTTTATTCATGCTTAGAAAATATCGCAATAGTTTTTAAAAAGGAATGTTTTCACAACGTGTTGAATTGCTTATACTTTAAACGTTATTTGCTAGATATCTAATTCCGTAGGGTGATATAAAAAAGTTCAAATTATTACAACGGGGTCGTGACCAATAATTGTTAATTATTATTTATGGTCGAGATAGTCTTTTCATCCAAAGAGCAAATGTTTATATGTTGAACTCTATATTTGAAATCAAATTTGTTTTGTATTTTACTTGTAGTTTTAAGTTGATTTTAATCTAACTCAAAAGACAAAAATAAAACAATCCGAGAACTGCAAGTAATGTTGCTTTATAAGAGCATTAACTTTTTTAAAACTGAACGTTCATTTGTAATTTGTTTGTTTTATTACTTAATAATTTTAGTTAAGAGCTAGGGAAGACTCACTTGTTAAATTAAAAACAAATCAGTCTTATCAGCACTCCAGGTCGTGATCGCTAATTTTATTTCTAGGATCCTATTCTTTTTCTTATTTGTAAGCAACGTTGGTTCGCTGCAAACATGGAGATTGTAATTTAATTAATTTGAAAAAGGAGAAAAGTACTTGAGAAACTAGAAATAAAACTTTATAAAGGCATTGACATTATTTCCCTTAACTTTAGATGATTATACACAATATATTTATTTTAGTATCGATCTGATGAAAACTTACTTATTGTTTTGAAGTTAACGATAGACATATTTGTTTTTTCACTTCCTCTGCATAAATCTTGTACTTAAATTAATCGATTGAAATTAAGCAAGCGACAATTTACCAACCATTCAATACATTAAAGTTGTATTTCTAATTATATTTACAGGTTGTATTGAAAAATGTAAAGGTAAGAAAGAATACTTTACTAATACAATATCAAAATGAGAAGATGTCAATTAAACAGCTATCTACTAGAGTCCAATTAGACAGCTATCTAACAGAGACCAATTAAACAAGTATCTACCAGAGACAATTTGCCGTTGAATTAAGGATGTTCATTTTTGATTTTTTGCGAGATTTTCGGAATCCTCTAGTTTTATCCATGCATTGCCATGAACAAAATTTTCTGGCTAATCCCTACTTTTCTTTTCATAATTTTATTACGTACAGTTTAAAAAGCCATATTTTAAAATCTTATAAAATCCTTGTTATTTTTTCATAGTTTTTAAAAGAAAAAAGCAGTTATTCTTAACAGTATGAAAAATCTAGAGAGAATCATTATCCGCCAAATTTTAAATGTCATATATCTGGAAAACAAGCAAAAGGACCCTTAATTTGTTCTGCTTATTTAGTTCATTTATTAATATTCTATCGTTTTATTACAGTCTTTTAAAAAGCTTGTTATTTTAAAACAGGGTAGGGAACATCCTTGAGTTAGTAAGGTCACCGCACGGCCTTTTAACAATAATTTAAAATTTAAACCGTAGTAAGCTATAAAAGAATCCAAAAAAGACAAAATTTAAAACAATTCAAAACTGCATATTATTCGATTGTTTATCTATTAAGTGGTGTTTGTTACTTACTATGTAGCTCCAGGCAACATTTAAACGACAATGTATTTACATAATAACCACTAATCAACAATGGGAGGATTTGTCGAACCTATACGAGATAATTATATATCTGGTAGGATAAGATAAAGTAGAGAAAGGACACTTTTGTAAAAAAAAGCTTGTCAATATGGATTACTGTTAGGGTTGGCTGAAATAGTTTTCTTTGAATTTGATATCATCTTCCCTTCTTCATATTTATACCATATTGTTTTGTTTTTTACTTTTAATAATTTAAGCAATTTTTATATTTAGCATGGACAGTAAAATATTGGCAACGATTTTGTTTCAACGAACACATAAAGCTATGGTGCTATCCATACCAGTATCTGAAGATCATAAAGGCACAGTATGGAAATATCCCGTGTCGTCCTAGTAATTATGAGTACCACGGAACTCAAACTTGTGGACCTGCTGATGCCAAAATTTTGGCACACACAAAGCATTATTGCGACTACCAAAATAAATGTTATGGTTATGCAAACGGGATGCTCATGGCAAAGTCATACTTATTTTACCATTCCTGTGGTTATAAAAAGCCCTCCTTTTATGTCAAATATGCTTGCAGTAAGTTAATTAGCTAAACTTAGAAATAGTATTTTCTTTCATAATATGAGAGTGAGTGATAGTTTTGATATTTTAGCATTAATTTGGTGAGTCTCTCAGCTTGGTGAGACCTCTGTGGCCTAGTAGTCTAAGTAGTCGAACTTCTGTTCAGTAGCCTTTCAACACTGAGGTTGTTTGTTCGAATCTAGCACGTGGCAGGTGCGTTTGACTCCAATCTTAACTAATTAGGATTGTCAATTTTCCTACCAAAGGTCGGTAATTCTCTCCGGGCACTCCGGCGTCCTCCACCAACAAATCTGACCACCACAAAATAGCACAATAGTGCTGAAAGTGGTGCATCTTGTCATACTCTATAAAAACCTAGATAAAGGTTGATTTGATTGGAAGGAAACTATTCAGCCAAGATAATATATTTGTAAAGTGCGGATGGCGTATCAAATTATAAGCCTGGTACCTTTGATAACTATTTACACCACTGGGTCAATGTCACTGCTGGTTGACGTTTCGTCTCCGAGGGTATCACCAGCCCAGTAGTCAGCACTTCGGTGTTGACATGAATATCAATCATATGTCATTTCTATGAATTAACTGTTTGCAAAAGTATGAATTATTCTAATTACTAAGGATAACCTTATCCTAGGCATAGATTACCTTAGCCGTATTTGACACAACTTTTTGGAATTTTATGTCCTCAATGCTCTTCAATTTTATACTTGTTTGGCTTTCTAACTATTTTGATCTGAGCGTCACTGATGAGTCTTATGTAGACGAAACGCGGGTCTGGCGTAACAAAGTATAAGCCTGGTACCTTTGATAACTAGTTCCAACAAATTGACATTCTTGGGATCACTTTCTTTGTGGATTTGTCGTCAGATGAAAGAAATTTAAATTCAATTTCGACATGAGTACATGTAACACAACTTTATCACCAATTGGAAAATCAAAAATAATTTAAACATTGGTGCTATCGAAACTAAATCATATATTCCTTTCAATACCTGGTCCAAATAAAACACTAAAACCACTATACTGACACAATGTATTCCTTCTTTTTATTAACAAACAAGATAAAGTAAAAAAAAAAAACAGATGCTCTGCAACAACTAAAATGTAATGGAGGGCTGAAAGTAATTTAATTAATAAATTACATAAAATGATTAGAATTAACATAGATTAAAAGGATAAACAGAAAAGTGTTATTTCAATTTATATAAGTGTTGATTATTAAACTAACGATTGTATTCATGTTGTATTGTACTCTATCACCTCCTGAACACATGTTTTCAATACTTTATACATGGCGTGCATGCTAATTAGTTTGCTATTCTTATTTAAGAAGTCCACAATAATACACAGAAGAATCAACAAATAACAAAAACTATCAATTGTCATAATACATTTAATAATATGGGTTAAAAAAATCATAAGTTTGATTACCTGGCAATTACAATAAAAAGGTATCATTTCAATTATACAATTGATACAATAGATAAACACCGTATATCTTAAAAGGAGAAAAAAGAAAAGGAGAAAGGAGAAGGTACTTTTTGTCCTTTAAATTCGAAAATCAAAAGTCCTATAAATCTACTAGATAACGTATTTCAGATGTTCGTCAGACATTTATCTGTTGGACATCGATGGTTAAATTATAGAATTTTGTGTTACATATTGTTAATCGCACCTCGGCTTAAATAAGTTTTCTATTTTTCTGCAATTCGCATGCATTCTGGGTAACTTCATTGTTCGTTCTCCAAAATTAAAACAACGTCACGTCATTGGTTGAATTTCAATTGTTCGTTCTCCAAAATTAAAACAACATCACGTCATTGGTTGAATTTCAATTGTTTGGGACGATGTAAGCCAGTCACAGCGTTTTGGTGTACGCTTTTGAAAATACTACCTAGAATGCATTAGTTTTTGAAACGGCTTATTATAAGGACAAACTCTTATCTTACCTCCTACTTCAAAGTTTTAAATATTGTAATATTGGAATTTGAGCTTTGAAGACTTTGTGTTGCTCTCTATATGTTGTTGATTTATGTCGTGCGATTGCTGTCACATTGACGATTACCTCAAAGCTCCGTTTAATCATCACTGTATAACTTTTCGTTCTGTGTTTTGTAGAAGCTAAAAAGAGTTTTTGTTGGAGTTTCTGTACCTGTAAAAAGTCCTACGGGGACCAATATTGTAAAAGTAAGTAATCTTGAAAAATGTATAATCAAAAATATCGAACTCCAAAATTAATAAAATAGGAGGAAGTCCATACAAGCTGACAATAACAAACATTAGACTATTTCAACGAAAACAAAATGTATACAACTGTCATATTCCTGAATTGGTACAGACATTTTGGAAAGATAAAATTATGAGTTAGACCTGGTTTTATAGTTCCCTAAACCTCCCACTTGTATACAGTTATAGTTCCGACAGGTCATGTTTGTTAACTAAACATTACAGTTATATGAAAGTTAGATGTAAAAAGGGAATTCTGAAATGAGAAAAAATGTAAAAAAAGACATCCACATGTTACAAAATACTATGACAACAACAGCAGTGCACTAAATCAAGTCAAATTGTGTTTGATGACGTCCAAAGAGCAATACAGTTTTTATTCTCGAAACTTGAATTTAATTTGCATTTATTCAATATATAGGAAGTCTCTGATGTATAAATGTAGTTGATATATATATAAAGTGTGATCTTTTTCTACCCATTTTTCGAATTTACTTTACTTCGTATTTTTCGTTAATACTTTTTTTTAGCTAATACTAACAGACAACTAAATGCAAAACATGTGTTGCAGCAATACCTTACTTGTTAATTGTAGTAATTTTACAGCACTTGCATTTGATGAAATTAACTCCATTAGCCTTTATGAATGTTGTTCTTCAATTTTTAGTACATTGACTGTTTTCTGTATTTCAAAAGTATATACTATGCAACGAATATTATATCTAAAACAAGGAATAGATTCAAATAAATCTGTAGAAATAGATTGGCTTAAATCTGTAAATTTTGGTTTTGATAGTAATATTAATCACAAACAAGATTTACATGAGTATTTAAAATAAGTAGTATAGCATTATTGTCAAATGTCAAAATTAGTACTTAAAACTGAAAGCATTTTTTTTATTAATCTTCATCATAAACAGTCAACTCCCCCCCCCCCCCCCCCCCCCCCCACACACACACCAAAGAAAAAAATTGAAAGGAAAAGGTCCGGTAAGGGATTTTTTTTGGACTCAAATTTGAAGTACATCTGATGTAACATTTTTGACAGTTTTTAAACACTTAAGTGTCTTCTTCAGTCGATTCACTTAGTTTATGTTAAAGATTTTAACTGATTTGGTCATTAAAGACGCCTAAATTTCAGGCTTAAATATGAAAAATCTATCAAATATGCCACAAAACGTCCCTTTTCAGATGGTTTTTGTCTAAAATGGAAGTGGCCGCATTCGTGTTCAGTCTCAACCTTTATATATGTCATGTATCATCATCAAATACAACATATATTTAAATATAAAGACTGAACACAAGTGCGGTAACTTCCATTTTAGACGAAAACCGTCTAAAAATTAGCACAAATGCTGAAATTGTGAAGATTTCAGTAATTTTGCATGAATTAATGATGCTAGTACCTGATAAATGTTCAGTGTAATGTCACAAAAGTCCATATTAATGTAATAAAAGTATGCTACTTTCCACTAAATAGCTAAAAATTTACATTTTTTAACAAATTTTTTAAATGCTATATTTTGGGGCCAAAAAGGGGTCTTACCGGGCCTACTCCTTTAAAAAAATAGAAATAGAAATAAAAAAAAAAGACAAATGAAAAGAAGAAAATTAAACCATAAATATAGTTTTCGCTACGGTCAGTAACTTGTTAGATATGAACAATGGAATATAATCGCTAAGATCTTTTTTCATGTACTAAGTATCTTATACTAGTTTTATCTATTTTTTCAGAGAATTATCACAAATACTAGGATAGTTACTCAGTATGGTTGACAGTGTAGTAAACAATTGTCATAAATTGTTGACAATTATTCGTCAAAATCTGATGATAGATAAATAAATATTATATATATATTATATAATATATGAGCACAATGATTTCGTTGAAACTTGATTAATAATATGCCGTTTGCTGTTTTGAGCAATTACCAACACAGATTTAAGCGATTCCAATGTTTTACTGGGGGTAAGACATGTGGTCACCCTGACTCCTACGAGACCACTCGACAGAATAACCCATACAGAGGGGGCGTCAAGTTGAAATTATATAAATATGTTTCTATTTTTGATTAGATCTATGACGTTAAATCAAATATCGGATAAAGAGTAGATGAGTGTTGGAACCTTAAATGGTTTTGCTGGTTGCCTGTCGTGTATCAAATATTTTGCTTTTAGTCAATTTTCTGTATTTTTCTAAGTAGCTGTCTAAATTTCTTTCCCTTTATCTCGGTTGATCCCGTTCGATGATCTTTGTTTATTTGTAATCGCTCTAAACATGCATGATACTTTCCATTGTACAACAACCAATACGTTAAATAGGTTGGTCCTTTTTACTCTATTAGTTTAAAACAAAAGACAACAGAACAATAGATCGACAGTTTGAATCAAGGAAACAACCTTCCGTACATATTATGACGATTTTTATTAACATAGCAACATACACAATTTCATTTTTTTAAATCAACCTGGGGAACTCAGTTGGTCCTAATACAATGATAGTACCATAAGAAAATAAATATGAATCGAAAAGGTGAACCGTAACAAAATGATACAGTCCTTGGATAGTGTAAACTTCCCAATAACACCATACACCATTACACCATTACCATACACCATTACACCATACACCCTGTGCCATTACACCATACACGTTACTCCTTTGCACCATACACCTTACACATTACACCATAATGCAATTTAATTTCAAAGAAAATTTGCGACTACAAAATTATTTATTTATTTTAAAAAAACGAATTTTGATCGCAATATTGTAAATTAATGTATAAAATTAAAAATCAGTTCTTTTAATATTTTGCACAGTTTTAAATGTCGTACACCATTCATTCACACCATTTCCGATCGCACGTTACACCATTACACCATTCCCCTTCCACCATAGAACCATACACCTTCTACCATTGCACCATATGCCATACACCTTTACACCATACACGTTTTTTTTGGAAGTTTACACCATCCAAGTGCTGTATGAGCGGCATATGTCACATAGGTAAAGCAACAACACTTGGTAAATAACTTAGGTTTCAACATGGTGAAATCCGATCGGGATTGGGGGAGGGGTTGGATTGAAGATTTTTGTGTTTGAGTTGGGCCATTTGGTGTGCGATTTCATGTACTGACGTCTGATTTAATTGATCTGTGAACTGTTGAAAATCGAAAATTAGATCAATTTAAAAGTGTATAGTTTGATTAAAAGTGCCTGGTGACCTGCGGCAATTTAAACGTGATATGTTTACCCAAGGGGGGAATGGGGGGGGGGGGGGGTATGGGGGGGGAAGGAGGGGTACACTTCTGGAGTCTCCTGGTAGAAGTCTTTTATCCCTTTAATTTGATAGCCTTTTTTCTTATAGCAGGATGCCTTTACCCTATCGACACATTCAGTATCGCCCCTTTTGGAGTTCATGCGATTCTATTAGTTTTTATTTGTCGTCTTGATTTGTCTCTTCCTTGTCGATTTGCGAGGTTCGAACATTAGCATATTACTGTCGCCTTAATTCGATAATTAATAAACGCAATAAACTTTACAAAATTAAAAGTATGTTATGAACAATGTCGCATGTGCATATTTCCAATATCCCTTCATTTGACCATTACAAGGTCTATTGTTTTATATACCTATTCACAGCGATACAGGTTACAACTTATGCATTAATGTGCGTACAGTGATTACCACTGGACGTTAAACAAACAATTATAAATGAATCAACCGACACATGCACGAAAACATCAATGAAATAGTAAACTACATAGCAAGTAGTACTATTTTGAAAAGTGTTTGAGGAAGAAAGATTTTAATATTTTACTTAAAACAATAATGTTTCATCTTTTTGAACATTCATCTATTTTTATTTGATAATTTTGTTGGTTTTTACCAATGTCATGTACGTCGTTTGCCTTATCATACAGAGCAACTGGCATTCTTCCCTATATTCTAGGGTACTCTCGCGTTGATTATGTTTTTTAATTCATATTCTGCCTCTCCGTATCCATCCGGTTACCCCACGCCTTCTCCGACATATTAGATTCTTGATCTGTCCATGGCTACATGAATGACACCTATAAACCAAAAAAAAAAAAAAGAGAAAAAAATGAGGTCATTGTTAAAAGAGGCAATCCAAAGAAAAAAATGGCCCATAAAGTTCAGAACTGCAGTATCTAAAACATTGAAATGAACATTTATTAGATAGACCTGTCTGCTGGTTATTTACAATAATATAAACAAGATGAATTCTTGTAAGTGTTCACTTTCAATATATCATGTGTACGAAGAAGCGATTAAAACAAAATCCAATTGTCTAATGAAACACAGAAAACCAACAGGTGAACCCATGCGATTAAAAAACTTTCCTCGATTTAGAGATTCTTGTTTTTCGGTCGCACAGAAACTGTCAAAATAACAAACACCTGCATTTTATTTGATACGGTCTACTCAATTACTCGGTAAGAAATCTTCTTTCGTTGGATAGATATCTATTGTCCACCTTTTGTCCCAATTGCAAATTTTTTTTTCCAAACTTAATTTATTTTTGGCAACTTTTGTAAAATCTCAAAATGTATAAGTTCATTATAATGATTTTGTATCAGCCATCTATTTGACATCAAATCTTATCTTTTATTATTACAGTTCATTTTCACGGAACAAAGGACCAATAATTGACCCTCCGTGAACCATCTCCTTTGAATTTAATTTAAATGATACATTTATCTGGTAGCCCCATACTATTATTAGAGTAGAAACAAGCATGCTTTAAACAAGTTTAACATCATACACTTACATAAAACTACTGAAATAGGCAATACTGGAAATTGTGAAAATGTCAATTGCATGTCAAAGGCGATAACACGACGCCCTGAAAGTAATGACGATAATGATAATTAAGCCAGGTGAAAATACCTAAAATTGACGTAAAACCAAGAAATAGGGAAATGATAAAGTTTAAGTAGCCAGTAACTAACAAAAGCAAGAACATTTGAAATACCAAGTTAACTACAACAGATGCTCTTTTCGAAATTAAATGTATCTTCAGTGATGCTCCAGGCTAAAAATCCAATCGAATCCAAACAAATTAAAAGGTCTACATTTGATAAAACAAAAATTCATAGTTCCTTGACAATTGCATTTGGTTAAAAACATTGGTACGTTACTGTATTAATACCACTGGATCTTATACCACTTATAGTTGACTGTAAGTCAAAGAGGGATACTTGCTAATCAGTTTTGCTTTTTACTATCGGTTTTCTATCTCCTTTGACTTCCCATTTTACGTTAAATAGGGAAACAATTATCCAGCAAGGGAAACAATCATATGCAGAATCAACTGGTTTCAAACACCTAGAAATATTTGTAGATTTTATTCTGCATATCAGTTTTTATTTTTACTGTTTTTCTCTATCTTATATGGTTTCCACAAAAAAAAAATGGGTACAATTGATTGGTCATTCAAAATGTTAAATGCTCAGGTCGACATCTATGACTTATATTTAGATCTTATTTTGCTGATATATTAAACGTTTCTGTTATTGACAATTATTCTCCATTTTGCAGATATTTTCTCGGTACTTACATTGATTTTGTTTGTAAATCCGTTTGATGTGTAATAATGAATAATGAAGTCATCTATCAGTTGTAATTGGCTTTGAACTAGCTTTCAGTAACAGCTCTTATTATCAGTGCTTTGTGTCTATTTGTTTTATGTTGTTTTTGAGCTTCTTACCGTTATTTTGAGCAAAGGCAACTAATTTTAACATTTTGTTCTTATGTTGTGCTGTTACACCACTGTCCCAGTCAAGTTGGAGGGTTGATCGCTCAACCTGGCCGCCACATTCTTTATCTGCCTGTTACTAGTTAGACGCCTGTATTTCAGTTGTTGTCGTATTTTTTTCTTTTTAATAAGGCCATTCGCTTTTGATTTTATTTGTTTCACCTTTTGCATGTCCGGGCCTTTTATAGTCGACTATAAGGTATGCGTATTATCATTGTTGAAGGCCATATGGTAACTTATAATTGCTAATATCAACTTTATTTAAACTATGACTGATAGCTGTCTCATTGGAAATTATAACACATTGTCCTTATTTTTATAGATCCTAATACTTTTTGCTGGATAAGATTTCTCTTTCTATAACGATTTAATTTAAATGGGCAATTCTTGTACTAGACCCATTTGTTTTCATTTTAGCCTTAGCTACCATAAAGTTGAGTGTGGCTGATGTTTGGTTCTAATCGGTCTGATAATTGCAGTGTAGTTTATTGTATTAGTCAACAAATGACATACCACGAATGTCAAGTAATGTGAATCGACCACACTGTGTCTGTGAATTCAAAACAATCTTATATGCTCCAAAAGGGCATTCAGATCCTATTTAACAAGTGCTTAAATAGCAAGCTTTTCATTTGTTTGGGATATGTTTCATCATTAACACATAACGCGCCAACCGATTAATGTCATGATGTCGTGGTCATAATTTTAAATTCATCAATCAGACATTAACCAAGCAACACACAAGATTTAAAAGACAACATTAGGTCTGCACATATTTTTTAACAAATAACAATTGTTTGTAGAATATGTCCTGACCCTGGGAAAGTCGTGATTAAGTTAAGCAGATCTGATATCAAAATGAAATCCCTTAAAGAAGATAAAAAACATCACGATGTCAAATTCTACATGTTCTATTGATTCAATAAAAATTTTAAAATAATCTTTATCTTAAGCAAGTATCATACATTATTTTAGTAAACTATGTATTAAATATGCCAGTTTTCGAAACATTTATGAGTTGTGCTATTTGTTACAAATGGGAGTTACTATTATATACAAAAGCCCCGAT